CAAAGACTGAGAGATTAGATATAAAAGCAGTTGTTCCTATGCATGTCACATTATGTACAAACAAGCAGAGAGCCACATACAAATGCTGCAAGTCAAGTTCAATGCATAAAACCTGCCCAGCATAAAACTGACAATGTGACACTGTCAAATGTAAGAGAAAACAAACCAGGTTACAGGTTTTCATCAATACTAAGCTCTGAGACTACAAATCCCAGCATCAACACTCCATTGAGATGCTCACATCTCCAACACATTGCAAGCTAATTCCTGATGGACAGACTGGGGGAATCTACTGACAGCAAGTGAAGTGCCTAGGATGCACTGCAATAATCAAGGCCTCTGACAGATTTTCCATGGCTTCAGTATCTGCATTACAACCACAGATTGAAGAAACACACCTCCTCTAGAGCATGGGTTCTGGATATCCAATTCAAACTCAGAACCTACATTTCTTATCCCAATGGAAAGCCTGAAGTCAGTGCCACAACTACCTAGCGTGCCAGCCAGAATTCACCAGATCCACAAAAGCCTTTAGACATGGAGAAACTAAATGAAAACTGAACTGTGAAAAGTGATCAAACCTTTTTACGAACATTTGGTGATCAACTGGACCAAACAGACTGTGCCCTGTAAGCAGATGGTCAACAAATATCCCCAAGCTTGTACAGGGCTCCTCATCTCGCACCAGTCAAGCTCAACAAGGTCACATTTCAGAATCTGACCATTTTACCCAAAAGGAATAAACTCCATATTTGTGGGAGAAAAGGAAAGAAACAAACCAGGCAGCTCAGATGGGATAAGCAGAGCACACAACTGCGTGATTAAGAAGAAATCATACCACTTGTTTAAAAGGCCAATTAGTTGATTAAGGGCATAGGTACTACTCCAGCCTGGCACTTTTTTGACCTCTGAGTGCTTGCTGCTCTAACCTAGACTTTTCACTACGTGCAATGCAAGAGAGAGTAACTTCCAAGTCGGTTGACTTGCACAATCTGCCAAGAGAGGATTTCAAAGCACACCTAGTCTTTCTTTCTACAGTATTTTTATAAGAAGGACATGCTCAGTGCTGTCAACCTGATGTCGAGGCACAACACAATTCACAGAAGTAGGACAGAAGCATGGGCTCCATTTATTCTTAATACTCTTAAATATACGTTAGAATGTTGTTTAAAATTATTTTTATATACAAAAAAATAGATAACGTAAAAATACATTGTTGCACTCTTACAAAGTCACATTGCAGATTACTGTGAACTCAGATAAGACCCCATTCCAGCACCAGCCCCATTTCCCTTGCACCTGCAGAATCATTTAAGCACCCAAAAAGCTGGGAAGAAAAACAGACAGCTTGTCTTCAGCTTGATCAGTCTGTAATTCAGGGAACTCTGATTCTCACCTGCACAGGCACAAACAACAAGGCAAGAACCTCCTATGGGCTACAGTCTATACTTACATGAGCTGGAACTCATGGAACATGAAACTGGTGATTGGAAGCAGATCTTAAAAACTGTTCCCTTTCTCATCTCAACAGATAATCATCCTCACTTGCTCTTCTTCTACACAAGAAACATGCAAAACTGCCACAAAGTGCCTAATAAAATCCAGAGGGTCCAGGAGAATGTCCCACCAGCATATCCTACTCTTTCCATCAAAGATCCCTACGCTAATAACCTTGTATACATCAACTTCCTCCTCCAGGAGCTAAGGATCACTTCCCCTGCTCTCCCAAAAGTCCTCACTAGACAGGAAGCAAAGGCAAGGCCATGAAAAAGGACATTTCAGATCAGCCTAACAGGTTCTAACCAGGATAGCATAGGTTGTTCATCCATGCACCTGGAAATGGCTGTGCTGAAAAAGCTGAGAGGGTATGAAATGGCCTCTAAGAAACAAAAAGAAAAATTAGCATTAGGACAATTCAGAACATTGACAAAACAAGCATTTGATAGAGATGAAAAAGCGACTCAATGTTATCTTGCTTTATAGAGCTCACAACTAACTCTTTCTACAACCTATCACTTTCCTTCCAGCTCCAAAACAAAGCCCTTACCTTAGGTCAGAGCTAAACTAACCCAGAAAAATACTTGACAATCTAAGTAGTAAGAAATTGTTACATGGGATTAAAAAAGACCTATTCAGGCTTACAGTGACAACATCCAATAACTGATACACCTAATTTTAAAACACTTTGAAGCTCCTGACAGTATTTCTATAAAAAGGACATCAGAATCTTAGTTCAGTGATAAACAACAAGGATACCATTATTTTTCTCCATCAAAAGCCTGACCGCCACACACAAGTGTTAGCATATCAGATGCAGTTGACAGTTCACTACAATGAGACTTTTACAAGATACTACTGCATATTATTTTCTGAAACAAGCTACTAATTATGTTTACACAGCCCTAACAATCACAGAAACATTACATTAAGAATCAACAGAGACCCAAGCCCCCACCATTCCTGCACCATTCAGTGTTTCATTAGCAAAGGCCAATTTTGGAATCCAGCTCTGGAAGCTCTGAATACCAAGTTAAGCCAGGTGAACCTGAAAGGAGGAAAAGCAGATGGAGCAAAAACAGAGCAAGACAGGTTGAAATGACAAAGGCAGCACACACTAAAGTATATTGCTCGGGGGAAAAAAAAATAAATAGAGGGCTGATGCTGAGCTTAAAAATGAAGGAATATGGACCCCGGGACCAGTGTAAGTTCAGAGCAGTTCAAAAATGAACAGGACTCGGTACCACCTACCCTAATTCAACCCCTCCATGGAAACCCTGGGGAAGGTTGGTCCCAGTCCAGGTCTGCAGACCCACGAGCACACCTACACCGGGGGAACTGCCAGGCACTCCAGGTGTCCCCACGGGGGCTTACAGCGCTCCTGGGGCCACCCACACCCCTCCCCTGCCGGGGGGCAGCACGGACGGACCCCTAGCCCCACCAGCCTTCTCACCATGTTGGTTTCATGTTACCGCCGCGGCTTCCGAGCTCCTTCCTGCGCGCAGCTCCTGTGGAAGGGAAGGAGGGGCACAAAGGGAGGGGACGCTCGCTCTGCCCGCTGGGCACGGCCCTGCCCCAGCACCGCGCTGCCCAGCCCGGGGAACCCCGCTCCGGTCGTGCCCCAGGCCGGCCCCGCAGGGGAAAGCGCCCGGGTCCCACCCACACACACACGGGGACGTACCGGGCTCCCCCCAGCCCCTCCTCACGGGGCTGCGCACGGAGCCCCACTCCAGGCCCACCCCGGTGCTCGCTACCCCCTCACCGCGACTGCTCACGGGGCCGTGCCTGCCTACCCCCTCTCCCTTCACGGAGCCACACCGGGGTCTCCCCTTCACGGCAGCGCGCTCGGCTCAGCCCCCCGGCCCTCAGCCCGGCCAGTTCCCGCCTGCCGCGGCTCACCGGGGCCGGCGCTGCCTGCCCGGCCGGGACACCGGAACGCGGAGCCCCAGCGCCGCCGCTCCCCGCCGTTCGAATCAACAACAAGATGGCGGCGCCCAAGCGGGCGGAGCCCGGCGCTGGCCGTCATAGCAACCGCGCCGTCCAAAGCCCGCCCTGTCGCCCTGAGCGCCAATCCACACCCGAGTCCCGCCCCACGGGGGTCCAATCCGGACTCTGATAGGTCAAACTTGGTGTCGCTCAAGCGCGGAGCCGTTCCTCCCTTTCCCGAGCGCGGACGGCAGCGCACGTTAGGCACACGTGACGCCCGCCAGAGCCCCGCCCCCTCGCGGGCAGCGCCGCCTCATTGGCTGTCCGCTGAGAAGGGGGGGCGCTCCGCCAATGGGCGCGGCCCGCGGCTCCGCGCCCCAAACCCACCCCCGGCAGCCCCGCCCTCCGAACCGCGCTCCCCGCTCCGAACCCATCCCCGACAGCTCCGCGCTCCCCAACCAGACCTCACTCTTGGCCGCTCTGCACTCCGTGTTCCCCGATACAAACTCACGCCCAGCCGTCCCGCGGTCCCACACTCAGAGCTCCCCCTCCGGCCGCCGCTCCCATCGGGGTCTCGCCGATGGAACACGCTCACGCACCACTCCGGTATCATAAAGAGTTAAATTCCGGACAGTCACGGTCCCCGTGGGTACAGAGCAAAAGAGACCCTCAGGCAAAGTCACACAGGTGACCCCTCTCACTGTGAAATTTCACGGCTGGCCCCTGTTCCCTTTTCCTCCCCTTAGTCACCTACTCCCCAAATTAGTCTCTCCCCTCTTATCCCGCCAGCGCTTCATTTCCCCAGGAGCTGCCAGGGAGGCGTCCCGTGGCGCGCTCCTTTGAAATTCAAATAAGCGCTTTCCCACCTCCCGCTGACTGACGCCTTCAAAGGCTCCCGCCGCTCCCAGCTCCTCCTGCGGCGTCCCGCTCACCTGCACCCACGCTAATTCACTTTTCCTCCCAATTACCAACCCATCCCCTCTGCCGACCAGCTGCTCATCCCACCCATTTGCGCCTGCGAGCGCTGTAACAAAGCAGAGCTTGAGGAGAACACGGGACTCGGGGCAAAAAATGCTCAAAATTACCCGTGGTTGTGTGTTATTGCCCGAGATAACCTCCCTGTGGAGGACTACCCCGGCTGGGTCATGTCCTGAGGACAGAGATGCTTCTGTGACCGAAGCAGACTTGGCCAAAGCTCTCGTATTTTTTTTTTTTGCAGTTCCAAGCCCGCTGCCAATCCTTGTCCTGGGTCATGCCACTCACACCACTGACGAGACAGTGCTAATGACCACCACAGCAGGACAGCCAGCAGTAGTACTGCCCGGCAAGGGGACTCCTTAAGGCAATCACAGCAGCGTGTGCAATCTCTGACACCATTTATTAGGTCTACACTGGCTGAGGTGGCTCAGGGTTTGAGGCACCCAGTGTCATGCACCCCATGTGCAGCCGTTTTGGCCACAAAGGATGGGTCTCCTCCTCGGGGGCCACACCAGCTGTCTGCCAGCGCCCGGTGCTCTGCCCAGCGCTGCCCACGTGGAGCTGTGGGTCACAAGGAGCCCCTCATCGAGGCAAGCCCTTCAGATCCAGCGCCGAGCCCCGGTCACGCTATGGAAGAGATAGTCCCTGCCGCTGCCTGAGATGGAGGCAGCACTCAGTCACTGCCCCCCAGGCCTGGTCCCCATCTCTCCTGTCCACAGACCCCTCTGCCTGGGGGACACAACCCAAGGCTGCCCTGGGGCTGTAGGACAGGGCACTCACATGGGTCCTGAGCATGGCCATCAAACTGCCCCTGTGTGGAGGAGACAGGAGAGGCTGCAGAGGGCCACAGGGCTCTTCTTGCCTCCCTGGAAGGACACCCACCCTCACTGCCACACACTTACTGGGCTGCTGGCATGTTGGTGTCCCTGTTCCTCCTTGCCCCTGCTGTGCTCCATCACATCCCAGGAGCTGCAGAAGGGAGAGGGGAAGGGAGGGAAATGCTGTCAGTGATGGGCTGCCAGCCTCAACCCCAAGAGATGCTGCTGGGAGCAACTTGACAGCCAGGTTTTGCCCTGGCAGCTACACCCTGTTAAGCCCATCATCCACCTACCTGCTTGTCCCCTAGCACAGAAGGGGACTGTGAGAGCGCTGTGCTCCCCCAAGCAGCACCACCTTTCAGCAGTGCCTGAGCAGCAAGCAGGTCTGCCACCACACACACTTGTTTCCCCCTGTGCTGGCAACGCATCCCTCTTGTGCTTGGAGGATGCTGTGCTGAGGGAGCTGCCAGGGCCACCCACAGGGGCTGAGCCTTGCATGGTCACTACAGCCCCAGTGTCACCAAGCACTGTGCCCCCCAGTCTTACCAATGAACCTGGATCCAGCTAAGCATCACCTCGGGGCAGTTATGCCACTGGACGTGGCTGTTATCCTGCCCATGGGCTTGCAGGTCTCCTTGCTGTGCAGACACTTGGCACAGGCTGGTCTAGCATCTCCTCAGGCTCTCTCCTCTGTCACCTGCCACCATCACTCATTCTCCAGGGTTTGTCCAGCCTGCTCACCTTCTCCCTGGGAGCTTTCGCTGACAAATGGGGCTCACCACTGCCAAACAGGGGCTCCCCTGGTGAGCTGCAGTGACCTCAGCCCTGGTGCCAGAACCCAGCACTAGGCATTGGCACCAGTGCTGTGCACTCTGTCCACTGCAGAGTTTGTGCCCCAGCTTGGCCACCGACATCACTGTCTGCTGGCCAAACTGCTCTCTCTGTTCCCATAGCTCCCATCAGGGCTGCACCCTTGCCCTGGGCAGAGACGGCTCCCTGGCACAGCAAGCTATAGCCAAATGCTGAGTATATCAAATATACAACATACCCTGTGTGCTGTGGCTCCCTGGCTACCTGCAAGGACAACACAACTGCCAGTATGACTGTCGTGGCCATACAGCACTCACCTCTGGGCCAGGAACAGCTTACCAGGAGCCCAGTTGCTGTGGGAGGAGCAGAAGGCAACTGTGAACCCTCAGTCTCGCTCGCTGTGCCATGCCGTGAGGCGGGCTGGGGCTCACCTGCACAGCAGGTTCCGGCCTATGCGGCCCAGGGTGGCCAGCAGCAGGGCACCAGAGATGGTCAGTACGGCCACAAACCAGGCTGGCGGGTGCCACACTGCCTCTGTCTGCAACACAACCAGCGGCTCCTTCTGCAGCGTCTGTGGAGGCAGTGGGGTGAGGGGCCGTGGGAGGTTCAGCGGACCCTGCAGCACCAGCTGGTCAGTGGGGTCTGCTCACCGTGTGCTGGGTGGTGGTGCTGGGTGGCACCGGAGTGCTCCGGGGGGTGACGTGCACCACCAGTGCCACCACGCTGCTGCGGCGGCGGGCACCAGAGCCGGCCCACACCTCCACCAGCAGGACAAATGGGTGAGGTGAGGCTCGGTCACTGGGGAGGTAGATAAGGGTGCTCCCTTCCAGCCGAAAGCGCCCGTCTTCATTGCCTGGACGAGAAGGTCTGCTCAGTGTCACACCGCGGCGAGGGCTGGTTCGTGCTGTGGCTTGGCCGTTCCTCACCTCCAACAATGGTGTAAGTCAGCACGGCGCTGTTGGGGCTGCCATGGCACGCCAGGTGGGTGACAGGCTGGCGGCTGTCCGGGGACCCAGCCATGATCCGCAGCTCCTGCACCTCGGGGACGCACACCGGCAGCTGGTCCGGCACAGCCTGCCAGGAGCAGGGGGAAGTGTTAGGGCACCCACAGTCCTCACACCCACCAGAGCTCACCCAGCGGGCTGCCCTCGCACCTGCAGGCGCACAGACACGTCGCACGCACGGCTCTGCCTCTTCCTTGGGTCCAGGTCATTGTGGGTGTCCGTCAGCTGCACCACCAGCCTGTAGCTCTTCTGCTGCTGGGAGTCCAGGGGTCCCACCACGCGGATCTCGCCTGTGGGAAGGTATGAGCTGTTGGGAACCGGTAGATGCCATGGGGTGTGGCAGGGGCTGGGGAAGGGGCTCACCAGTGCGCCTGTTGATGGAGAAGGGCTGTGCAGGGCCAGAGCCCCCCTCCAGGCTGTACTCGAGGCTGTCCAGGGGATAGTCACGGTCAGTGCCAGCCACACGCCCCACGACACTGTTGAAAGCTGCTGTCTCTGGCACGGTGAAGGTGGTACCGCTGGGGCACGCTGGTCTGAATTCGTTGACAGGTGTCACCGTCACAAGCACAGGCACACGGGCTGTGTGGCACACAGCTGCTCAGCCATGCTGGCACCACCCCACAGCCTGTGCCGGGCTGGGTCACATGGGCATCTCTGGGGCAGCAGGGGAGGAATGTTTCCTCTGTGATCTGCTGTTTTGGGGATTAGGAAAGGTCTTATCCCACCCTAGGGAAATGGGCACTCACTGCTCTGTAGGGGCTGCCCTCCCACTGTCACCACAATGGTGGCTGTGAACTGGAAGCCCAGAGCAGCCATGGTCTCCGAGTCATAGTCCAGGCTGGTGTTGACCTGCCAAGCCAGGAGGGGAGTGTCAGGCAGAGAGCCGAGGTGCTCTGCAAAGCTCAGATGCCCTGCAAAACCAGAGTATCCCACAAAGGCAGGGTGTCCCACAAAGCTGCGATGCCAGGGGAGGAGGAAGCAAGCGAGGAGAATGAGCAGGCCTTGGGGAGCAGGGAGCCCTGAGGAGCCCTGACCCAGAACTTGGCATGACAACACATGTCACAGGGTCCCCCTTATCCCACTGGGCTCTGGGGTCTGTGCTTGCTGTCCATCTGGGCACTGCCCATGGCCCCACTCACCTTCAGCTGTGGCCCCTCCATGCAGAAGTGGGAGCGGGAGGAGGGAGGCCCCTCGAGAGCATAGTGCAGGCACCCATCAGTGCTGGTGGAGTCGGTGCACCTCAGTGTCACCAAGGTGCTGCCAGGGGACACTGTTTCAGGAACCTGGGACCTGTGGCAGGGTAGCCAGCAGCTCAGCCTCTGACCCATGTCCTGGGCGTAGCAAAAAGTCCCATGCACCCCACTCCCCCCTGAACCATACACGAAGATGGCTGGGACACATCTTGGTGCCTGGCGGTTTGTCCCCTGCACGGTGACGTTGACCGTGGCGGTGGCGTGGTCATCGGGGTGCAGCGCGTTGTAAGCCCGGATGAGGAGGTGGGCATGGGTCACCTGCAGCCGACGGGTGCTGCGGATCTCGCCTGTCACTGCAGGAGGAGCCATGGCCTCACACTGGGCACAGGGACACAGACAGGGCGTCCTCAGGGATCCCTGCTGCCCTGCTCACCCTCATCAATGGTGAAGAGCGTGGGAGCCACAGGAGCAAGGATGGCATAGTGGACATTGTCACCTCTGGCATGGACCTGTGTGACCACCTCCCAGGGGCCAATGCCTTCTGTCACCGACACAGCCCGGTGTGGCTCACTGCAGGCGAGGTGGGCATTGTGGTGCAGCCTGGTGCCACCAGCACCCCCCTCCTGGCCCAACCCCACTCACGGGAAGGTGACACGGGGACGGTGTGATGGCAGCACCTCCACCCTTACAGCCCCGCTGCAGTTGTGCCCGTGACGATCCATCACCTCAATCTCCAACCTGAATGTCTGTGGGGCAGCACCAAGGCAGCTGTGGGATAGCCCCGAGTGGCACCAACGATGGGGATGGGAACAGGAATAGGGATGAGGCTACTAACAGGGACAGGGACAGGAATAGCGATGGGATGGGAACAGAAACAGGGACAGAGACAAAGGAGAGGGGGCAAGGGATGAGAATGGGGCTTGGCATAGGAACAGAGGTGGAAAGAGGTGTGGAGATGGAAATGAGTATGAGCTGGAGACTAGAATGGGCAGGAATACAGACAGGGATAAGGATATGGGCAAGACTTGAGAGCAGAAGGGGATGGGGACAGGGCTGGAGCACTTGTGGGTCCAGGGTAAACAGGCAATTTTGGTAAGAGCAGGATGGGGAGAGCTGTGGCCAAGGAAGGGCTAAGCCCTGATGGACTGAGAGGTGGCTGTGACCAGCCTGGGGCTGCTGGTGCCCACCTGGGTGTCCTTGCTGGGGTCAAAACCATTGTCAGGTGCCAGCACCAGGCCCCGGCGGGTGAGTGTGAGTGGTGTGTTGCGGTTTCGGAGCCTGAACTGCAGAAAGGAGGGTGATGGGAACCCCTGTCCCACTCCTCCACACCTGGGGCTCTGCTGTCTCCAAGGCTGCTCCCTTCTATGGGGGTGTGGCCCCTCAGGGAGCTGCCACTCACCATCAGCCCACCAAGCGGCTGCGGCAGCACCGCGTACAGGGGCGTCCTGGGTGCCACATCTGCCAGCACCTGCACCACATCACCCTCTGGAGCACAGCACAGCTGTGGGAGCTTGGTGCTGGCTGGCACCCACAGCCCCCACTGCCCTGTGCCCCTGTTTCCTACCTGCACTGGCAAATGGGGAATCACAGCGCAACACATGCCCTGCTGTCACCTGGACAAAGAGCCGCTCTTCCACCTCACCCTCACCAGGACAAGCAGCCCGCAGGGTCAGTGTGTACTGGTTCACCTGGCGGGCATCGAGCTCCGCACCAGCACGCAGTGTCACCTGCAGTGGGGACACAGTCACTCAGCAGGGCGCCTGCCAGCTCCTGCCCCGTTCCCTATTCCCCAGCCACACCTCAGCCCGGAACGTGGTGGCATCTGTGGGGTCAGAGCTGATGGCGATGGAGTTGAAGGGGTGGCTGGGCTCGATGCTATCCAGGGTGACATTGGGACTGCTGCTTGAGTTGCTGCAGGACACGGTCACCTCAGCGACGCGGCTGCCTGGCACTGTGTCCTCACTCAGGGCCACCACACGTGGCAAGTCAGGCAGGACTGGTGGGAGACCCCAGTGACCACTGATGGCTCACACAGCTGTGCTTATGGAGCTCTGCTCCTGCACCTAAGCACCAATGCAGCCACAGGTTTCCCTGCCTGGCACAGCCGGGTCCAAAATACCCCACTCTTACCTGTTGCTCTGACGAAGGTCCCTGCAAAAAGGAGAGTGTCACCCCAGCCTGCCAGGTGTGCCCTGGCAATGCCCTGGGGAAGCCACAAAATTCCCTCTGTGAGATGCTCTGATGAAACCCCAGTGGTGTCTGGATATGCCACAGTGATGCTCAAAAGAAGCCCGAGTAACACCCTGGCAATGCTGAGGACACCCTGAGGATACCCGGGCAATGCCCTGAGCATGCTCTTGTGATGCCCCCTCCCTGCCTCAACCCAGCCAGGCAGCTGCCGATCCCTCTGCCCATCCTAGGGTCAGCCCCAGGAATGTGGGAGCAACCGAGGAGAGCCTCTCCCCTCTCCCCTTCCTCTCAGCCATCCACCCAGGATCTGGCAAAGGGTGCCCCGAACACTATGACCTTGAAGCACCTACCTGGGGCATAGAGGCTGAGGAGGAGGAAGGTGAGGTGCCCGTGCATGCCCATGGCTCGCTGGGTGTTTGGGACAAGCTACAGCCGGTTGCCAGTGGTGCCGGGCACCACCCCAGCCCGGCGTCATGCCGTCCATCCCCACCCGTGGTGGCCGTCCCGGCCAGGGGAGGGACAGGGCACGGCTCCAGTGCCCCCAGCTCTGCACGCCGCCTCTCTCAGCCCCTCGCCACTCGAGCTCCGTGGGGTTTGGCTGCCACCCCACACTGCTTCACCACGCGGCACGCTCGGGAACCGGGAAAATTAGCAGGGAGGTAATTTTTGGCCGTGTTCTCGTTCATTTGCAAACCAGTGCCGCTTCTCCCGGGCTCCCCATTAAGCGCTATTAGTTCCCAATTAACGGGCGCTGTGGCCAGGGTCACTCTTCCCTTCCCTCCTCCACCGCCCAGGCCGGCTCTGGCAGCCCGGTGGCGTAGGGTGCCGAGGGGGGAATGCCTCCGCCGGGGCCCTGTACCGGGATTGCCCTCCCTCCCAGCGGGGCATACCGGGCTGCGGGACCCCCGAGGTGCTGCCGGGGCCAGGGTACGGCTCCCGCCTGTCCCGGCGGTGCCCGGGTGGTGCCCGGCGCGGGGCCCCGGGGCGGCGGGGAGGGGTCCGTGGGCGGGGCGGGGCCCCGGGGCGGCGGTGCCGGTGCGGGCCGGGCTCACGTTACGGCGGCCCCATTGGCCGGGGCGGGTCGGGGCGGGGCTGCCGGGCAGCGCCGGGAGGCGGCGGGCACGGCCGGGCGCTCCGTCCGCTGTCGCTGCTGCTGCTGCTCCGGCACCGGCGGCACTGGGAGCGGCGCCGGGGGTGCAGGACCGGGCATGCACAACGCCCGCCCGGACGAGCTCGGCGCCGACCGGGTGAGTGCTGCCGCGGGCACCGGGAGGGAACGGGATGGGACAGGAGGACCGTGCCTGCGCCCCGCCGCCCCGGGACTGCCGTGACGTCCGGCCGCTGCCGGCGACATCAGGACCGTGACATTACACGCGAGGCCAAAGGCGGCACCCTTTGGGACACTGGTGGTGTGGGGGCACGGATAGCCAGCGGCCACAGTGTCCAGCTGTCAAGATGCCAGCGGCACCGTCCCCCCGGAGCTGCCACCCTGCCACCCACCTGGGCTGCCCCGAGGGACAGCGATGGCAGGGTGGCTCTTCGGCTCTCCTGGGCCTGCCACATGCTTACCCAGCACCTCACAACCGGCTGCCCCAGTGTTCCCGGCCAGCGGCGGGACTGGGCTGCTCGGAGTGGTGGCACATTGCCACTAGGGCTGGATGAGAGGGTCCCAGCCAGCGGGGAGGGGGACGGCGATTGGGACGGGGACGGGGAGAGGGACAAGGACAGTCCTGCCAGCAGCTCTGTTAGGGCCAGACAGAGGAGACACAATTATCGGTCCTGGAAGCAATCCCTCCTGCACACTCAGCTTTCCGCGACTCCAGCGTGGAAAGGAAAGCGGACGTAACACCCTGCTTTTGGGTTCAGACAATAGGAATTCAAGAGCGAGGAGCGGCCCGGCTGCAGGAGCCAGGAGTCCCTTCCAGCGCCCGCCCGGCCGTGCTCCGTTCAGCCCTGGCTGCCTTGGTCCCCTGTATTCCCCGGCGTTTGGGGGGGCCCGGGCCTTGGGCGCAGGCCTGGCTGCACCCTGACGTCACCAGGGGTGTCCCCAGCTGGAGGGCACAGGGTGGGTGGGTGGCCCTGCCAACGCAGGGGGGCTGAGCCCCACCCCAGCACCCGCGGGTGCCCTAGGGCTGCCGCTGGCTCCGTGCCACCGAATGGGACTGTGCCGGAGGGGTGTCCCGGTTGCCTCCCACCGAGAAGGGGGCACTCGAGGGGCTGTCGGGGGGGCAGTGGAGCGCCAGCTCCTACGTGCCGCGGCCCTCTGTCATTTCCCGCAGGCACGGCCGGGGCTGGGTGCCTGCTTGCTCACCCGACAAGCCGCTGCACGCCGGCCGGCTCCGCGCAGGAGCCGCAGGAAAGCGGGGCCCGGGGCTCCAGGCAAGCTGGGACCTGCGCCCCGCTCTCCGCACCCTGCTGCACGCCCATTGCGCCAGCAAAGCCCCCCCGAACCGGGCCGGCGGGGTGCCGAGGAGGGTGGGATGGGGGATCGCGGTGCTGGCTGGGGTCAGTGGCGACAAGCGTGCTGATGTGCCCTTTCCCTGCAGTGGTGCCGGCGGGACGCGGGGCCGACGCTGCGGGCGCACATGCAGGGCACGCGGCAGGCACCGCACCACCCCGGCAGGGCTCCGGGACCGGCCCCCCGTGCCCCGCGCCCCGGCTCGGCGGCGGACTCGGCCTGCAGCCTGGATCCGGGAGGCGAGGAGGAGGAGGGGGGAGGCCCGGCCGCTCGCTCCCCCCCGGCCAGCGAGCGCAGCCTGGAGTTCGACTCGGGGTACTCGGAGGCGTCGGGGGGCACGTGGAGGGAAGAGGAGGTGCCCGTGCGGCGCCGGCATCTGCTGCCCTGCCAACGGGCACACCGGCTCTCCGCCGGCCCCGCCGCACCACCGCCCGCCCCCGCCCGCCGTGTCCGCCCCAAATCCACCTCGGACGCCTGCCTGGAGCAGTGGCGGGCCCTGGAGCCCGCCGACACGCAGGACTGGACCGTAGCACTGCTGTCGCAGAGCCGGAACCGGCAGCCCCTGGTGCTGGGCGACAACTGCTTCGCTGACCTGGTGGAGAACTGGATGGACCTGCCCGAGGTGGGCGCCGAACCGCGTCGCAGAGCCCCTGCCGAACCCTCCCGCCGGCTGGCCAAGCCCCCCGCCTTCCTGCTCAGCCTCTCGGGCAATGTACGCCGTAAGCTGGCCAACATGGCCCGGCCCCGGGGGGCCGACGGTGCCCGCCCGGGCGGCCGCGATACCACCAAGCGTTTCTCCTGCCCGCTGGGGCTGGGGGGACAGCCCAAGGGCGCCTGCTTCCATCAGTCCCACAGCAACATCGCCCAGCTGGCCACGGACTTTCACCGCTTCACCGCCTTGATGAACAGCCGCAGCCGCCAGCCCATCATCTGCAACGACGTTATCGGCTACATTTAGCCCTGCTGCTGCTGCTGCGGCCCGCACCCCCACCCTGTAAATAAACCCCCGTTTTGTACGGTCTGGGCGCCGCAGCGTTTATCAAGGGGAGTGCCTGTGCCTCTGGGCAGAGGCAAGCAGGGGGCTTTTGCAATGAGGGCCATTGCAGCCTGCAGCGTTTATTGAATGGGGCAGGAGGTGCCGGCCCTTGCTCAAGGTAGGGAGCACAGGAGAGGGGGACGGCTATCTTCAGCCTCAGCATCCTCTCCCTCGCACACGTACAGCAGCTCTAGGTCCTGCTGCTTCGGCATCCTGGCGTCCTCCAAGTTCTCCGATAACCTGTAGCAGGGAGAGGGGGTTTTGGGGTTACTGGCTTGTCCCCAAGGCTGTCTGAGTGCTCCAGGGGTGCGTTGGGCCCCTCAGGGGTGTCCGGCCAGGCTGGTGGGATGCAGGGGCCGGCAGCAAGGGGCCGGGCAGGGGTCCCGCCACGGGAAGTGCTGCCGGCAGGATGTTTATCCAGCAGCTGGCTGGGAGCTGCACTGCAGCTGGAGTGGCTCAGGATTGAGGCAGTGGGGGCTGGAAGCCCTCCCCTCCCAGGACAGGATTGGGCCCTGGAGCCGGAGGCCTACCTCTGCGCCTGCTGCAGGGCCCGTGTCTCTGCATCTGCTTTGCTGTCATAGAGCACAATGTCGCCACACAGGAGCATGGTCACGGTCCAGCCATGTGTCCTCTGCAAGAGGTGGGTGTCAGGATCTGGCCCTGCATCCTCCAGGGTGACCTGGCTGACCGCTGACAGCACTGGGCTCACCTGCAGCCAGTCCAGCACCTCCTGCACCGTCATCGCCTGCCCATCTGCGCCGACTGCCTGCATCTCCAGCCGGTCCCAGCAGCTCCACTCCCGCCCACCGTACTGCCAGGGGGTAGCAGCCTGCACTGGCACCCCAAATCCTGGCTGCCCAGCCCCACGGGGCAGGGACTGGTGCAGCACAAGGGCTGGAGGACATCAGGGCAGGCAAATGGGCAGGGCACCATGGTGGTGCTGCGGGACAGTGGGGGACACAACTATCCCCCCAGCACTGCTGGGGTCCACTTCAGGGGTCAGTGTAGCGTAGGGCCAGCACTGCCCCTAGCCCCGGGCCAGGAGAGGCGCACAAAAGGCCATTGAAGCGTTGCCCAACCCCACACAATCACCTCTTCTCATGCTTGTGGCCCCACGACCCCTGCTCCAGCCCAAGGAGGCCAGTGTGGTGCCAAGCCCGGGGCCAAGCTCCGGACACGGCCCCGCACCGTCTGGCAGGGCTGCGCGGCCATCTGCCTTCGCTGCAGGCAGTGCCAGCACTGCCTGCCTGGCCCCAGCCCCACTCGGGAGGGGTATTCGCACCTGGTCACTCTCCCTCCTGCTTTCTGCTGCCTTCTCACCTCCGCCTTCTGCTGCCTGCACTTACCCCACTGGTGGAGAGAAGGGCTTAACCCCATCCTCACCAGGGCAGCAACTGCTCAGCACAGAGGGAAAGCCATGGCCTGGCCCTCCACCACCAAATACATCGCTCTGGCCCTGGGAAGCATATTCCTCTGGACAAGGCTGGTCCCCAGTGTGGGCTCCCCAGGTCCCCATGGGGACATAGGTCACACCAAGCAGGCCTTAGGGACATGTGTTCCCATCACAGCCAAGCAGCTGGGTGTGAAATGTCACGCCGGGTGTCTTCGCCCTGGGACATGGAGGTGTTGGGATGCTGCTGCAGGGACCTGAGGGCATGGCCAGACCCAGCAGCATCCTCCATCCAGGGATGATACTAACCCAGGGACACTTCAGCCAGGATGGCACAGGACTGGGCATGGAGTTTGGGGGGCCATGGGGCAGCCATGAGCCCAAAGTGGTGCTGGAGCCGGCACAAGGCAGCGGAGTCGCCTCCCTCCCCCTCTTCCTGCCCCCGGCCCTGGGCCCCCCGGGCCAATCTGGTTCCAATCGGCGCTTCCTGCCGTGCCGGAAGGGCTGCCTCGCACGCCATAAACCCCCAGACAAAGGGGCCTCTATAGCCCAGACGGTCCCAATCTGGGCCTGCCCCCACCCCCGCTCTCCCTGCCTGGTTCCCCACCGCCGGGACCCCCGGCCCCGCTCCCCCGGGCGGCCCTTCCCGGCCCGGTGCCAGCTGCTCTCCGGCTGCCGCAGCTGGTTTCCATAAGCCAGATGAGTGCGGCTGCAGCGGCCTCCCACCCCTGGCTGTGGGGCTCCGCGTGGGGCCTGCCATGGGGCAGTGGGGCTGCCTCATCCCCACGGGCACCCCAGAGCATCACGGCTGGGCCTGAAGCTGGGCGAATGGGACAGTGGCAATGTCTCAGTGTTGGGGGGCAGCCAGGGGCAGGAGCTGGTTCTTCACTGCCTGGAAGCATTCCCAACCCACTCCAGCACCTGGATCCATTTCTGGAGTGCTATGGGCCAGGGCTGCCCTTGCTGCATGGCCACCTCCTTTCCCTGGGTTCCCCTGACATTGCCCCACAGCAGACGCCACTGGCCCCTGGGTGTCCCCCAGCTGCACTTGCCCAGGGAAGAGGGTCCTACCCGGTAGGTGGGGGCTGGTGGGGGCTGGACACGGAGCAGCAGGCAGGTAGACAGGTTGATGTTGCTGTTACGGTAGCAGCTGAGGTCCTGGCACCCCCAGACCAGCTTGTAAACCTCCAAGCACGCCAGCCCGGCCACAGCTGCTGTGGTGGTGATGATAGCAGGCACGATCCGTCCAGCAATTCGCTTGCTCTGAGGACAGGAGGGGCGTCACCAGCTGCTCCACACAGGACAGGGACTCCTGACGCCACAGGCTGCCCCTCTCACCATCATCCAGGTGGCAGGAGAGATGCCATAGTTCTCTGCACGCAGGTTGGATGCTGCTGTGATAAAGTCTATGTGGACATCGTTGTCCTGTGGGGAAGAGTGGGGGGATATCTGCATTCCATGGGGACATCAACCCCCCCAGGCTGAGCAGGGACAGCTGCCTTGCTCTGCTACCTTCTCAAAGTGGATGGGCTCCATTAAGGGTGCTTGTGCCTTCTCATCCCCCAGCAGCTCCTGTCTCCACTGTACCAGGTCCTGGGTAAGCTCTGTCAGCTGCTTGTGATCTGGGGGCACGGGGACCCTTGGTGTGACACTCCTGCACAGTGGCACTGCAGGGGTGACCCCACCTTGGTCTTGCGTCATCTTGGGTGCTGGAGCAGGGACAAGAAGCCCAGCCCCACCACCACCAGGCTGAACCCAGGAACATCCCTGGGAACCTCAGGGAAGCTCACCTGTGGGAACTTGTGCCTCCTCTGTGGGTTCCTCTGTGAGGGGGATCTGGAGCCCCTCCTGGGGTACAAAGGGTGGCAGAACCACACCACGGAGGATGGCCTGGATGGCTGCCCGGTCTCTGCATGGTGGCACTCTGTGTACTTGGGCAAAGAGGTGGGCAGTGGCCAGGACATAATCCAGGTGGGTGTCCTGCAAAGTAGAACAGGGCTGGCCAAGGGGTGCCTTGCTGGGGTGGTCCCACACAGCCAAGGGCTGCCAGCACTGCCCTGAGCTGGTAGAACTGCCTGGCTTTGCCCCGGAGCAGAGGTGGAGGAGCCTCTCCTCCTCCTCTGGCCACAGAGCATGTGTGAGCTGTCCTCTGCAGTGCCCTCACTGACTGGGGGACAGGGACAGACCCAGCCCAGGACCTGGCAGCCCCACACAGGCTGTGGCAGATGGAGCACAACTAAAGTTTAGTATTCCCTGTGTGCCCAGCACAGGCTTGGCTCTCCCTCTGCCCACACCATTCCTGTGTGAGACCCCACAGCTCTCCCTGCACTCACATTGTCAGGGTTGAATGTCAGTGGATGAGGACATCTCCTGTCCCCTGCCCAGAAGGGGACACCTGGGCTGGTTTCCTGGCACAGAGAGAGGAGTCAGGCCCAGGAATGTGCATCCCTGCCTGCAGTGAGGTGGCTGGTGGAGGGAAGGGCATGCAGAGGGTGCCAGCCCTGTGGTGCTAGGCTCACATGCTCTGGGGGGTAGATGTGCAGCAGCTGGGTGATGGCATCGTGGTAGCAGCTCTGCCAGCGCCGGCGTGCCCAGCGCACACAGTCCTGCCAGTCCCGCGGCCGCTCCCGCAGGCTGTCCCACACCTGCTCCAGCACCTTCCCTGGTGGCTGCTGCTCCAGGAAAGCTGGGTCTCTGCAAAACCAGGCAGCTGCTGATGCTGACCCAAGAGCAATCCTGTGAAACACCTGGGTGGGATGTGGCAGTCTGGCACCCTCTCCCCACTCCCAACAGTGACCTGGCAGAGCTGGAAGCTTTTCTCCCAGCATCACTACCCCCAAAGCCCACTCACTCCATGAACTGGTTGACTTGTTCTGCAGGTAGCTGGAAAAGCCCCTCAAACTCATCACGGGCCCACTGCAGAGGAGAAATGGGTGTTGAGCACTGGAACCTCCCCCTTATACCCCCAAGCCCAGGGGAAGGGGGAGGCTCTGGCAGGGCCAGCAGCAGCACTCAGGCTGCCAGCAGGAAGCAGCTGGGGCCATATCCTGCCTGTAGCCCACCACTGCAGGGGAAACAGGGAAGGAAGACAAAGGTCCCGGTGCCTTCTCGCTGGGTGCTGTGGCTGGGGCAGCTCAACCTACCTGCAGCGTGTGCTGGATGGTGTGGGGGAAGTGCCGCAGGGTGCAGAAAGGGAAGGTGACATCCCTGGGAGTGGCTGGCTCCAGAGGCTTGGTCAGGGATGGCACCATGGCCAACACGTTCCCCTGTGTCCCCTCCGTGCCCGAGTCCAGCAGTGGCGTGCGGCAGCGGAGACAGCGTCTCTCCAAATAGGTGCCTGCAGGGAGCCAGGACTGCTGGGGACCCATGGAGCGTGTTCAGGGGCTCGGCCCCCTTGCCCTTACTGGCACTCACGGGCTTCTATTGTGTCCAGGGCGCTGGCAACGCCATCCAGGTGCTGGAAGAAGTTGTCCCTGTAGAGCATCTCAGTGGCAGGTCCCACCTGGTTCTGGTGAGCTGTCACTCTGACATC